CCCCCCCCCCCCCCCCCCCCCCCCCCCCATCGTCACGGCTACGAATTACAGAGCATGAAATGAGAGACTGAAAGATGGAACGCGTTTGTGTGTGTATGTAAGGCGGGGGGGGAAACAACGGAAGGCAATCGTCCCCCGTCTATGACTTTATGTGCGACGTGCTCCATGTTGCTGTTTGCTTAAGCAGGAACAGCTGCGTGAGCGAGGAACCCGGCCTGCTGTCCCCTGCGCTGGCGTGTCATCCACTCAGGACAGGAGCCCCCCAGCAACCCCACGGCATCCTTGCAAAGTGCCGCCTCTGTGCATAAAATAATAATTGGCGTCGGGGGGGCCTTTCCCTTTTCTGAGCGGCACAGCGGGCGCTCGATTTCTCAAAGCCAGAAGCTTTGAACTACTGAGAATAGAAAAATGCACACATGTTTGCAATGTCCAGCTCACCCCCCCCCACCCCCCCCCCCCCCCCCCACCCCCCCCCCCCCCCCCCCCCCCCCCCCCCCCCCCCGCCCTCCTGTGCGACGGCATCCTGACAGTGGAGCTTCATCCATTTACCAAGGCCAGCTGTTCGCACTTGCTGAACACGGGATGACGAGTGAAAGAGGGAAGCTCACTGTCGTTTCCGCAGGGAGGAACGACGGCCTTCATTGGGAACCCCCCCCCCCCCCAAGATTAAATGTGTCTCTCATTACTGTCACGACGCTGAACTCGGGAAGCGGCTTTTCTCTGCCAGCGTGGCTCCCCACTGCTTTGACAGCTACTGTAAGAGACACCTGGAAGGCTTGATGTTATAATTCTATGATTTATAAGGAATAAAAACGCACATATTTCATAGCTTTCACTTTAAAAAGACCTAGTAGAGCTAACCGCCGTAATTCATTTTAAGTACGTCCGTGGTTACAGTCCAGTGACACTTCAAAAGATGCATGTAAAGTGATGCATTTCAGACAAATCTGTGACTAGCCATGCAAACACTCCCCTTACACATACAGCACCCAAACCCATGAATATTTTATGGCAGGAAGCTGCAATGCCTGTAACGTGGAAGCTTCAGGACAGCCC